CTCATTCTAAGAGACTGTACTATGGAGAAATTTCCCTTGAGAATAAAAAAGATCAGCAAAACCATCTTCACTTGTTTACAAAGCTGCCTTTTATCTCAGACGCTTCCTGGAGTTGAAAAGATAGTAACTCAAAAAGCATTGAGCAATTGAACTCTACTCACCTTTGAATGTTTTTTATTTTTCTGTCTTAGGCACTTTATGTTTATGCAAACCTGCTTATAGTAGAGAAGAGGCTCTTGACTTGTAAATAAGAAATAGGCAATCAGATAATAAAAAAAGCAAAATGCAAGTAAAATAGCAAATGATATTACTAATAAGTTTAAAATTTCAGCTCTAAAAAGAATCATGGCTCAAGATCATAACAGATGCAAGTGATTTGAACAATCTAAAAAGCAATACCAGAGATGGTTGGGAAGAAAACCAAAATAACACATGGTACCTGAACAAAATATATAATTATTGTGGCTGTTTAGAATTGTAATAAAATCTTTTTAGCTGATCAGAATGTTCTCAGGACAGAGAACTGTATTCTTGCAAAAAATATAAATCTCAACCATATGAATATTTTATAAATATAACATAAAAATCTCTGAATGGTTTATGTGGTTTTTTTTATTTGCTAAATCACCCAGATCTTTCAAAGACTAAAGTAAAAGTATATGTAAAAAATATATAAGCTGACTTATTCTCGAGAGCACAAATGTCAAAAAAAATAATGTAGGGTCAAACTATCTGCATAGTATTAATATGAGCAAAATATTCTGTGTGTTTTATATAAATACTGGTCATATAGGGCATGATAAATTATTATGACAAAGTTAATAAGACTTTAGCATGATATGAGTTCTCCCTATTATTACAGTCTCATTTTCTATTACTATCAAAATGTCCTTACAGTCTAGCCCATTTAACTTCCCATAAGGAACATCCCCAAGTTCTTCTAACTTACTATATCTCTGCTTAGTAATATAATTTGTCTTTCTGGTATAGTATTCCCAATTTGCCCACATGGGGGGCCTCTACTCATCCTTTAAAGTTGAACTCAAGTATGATCTCCTCTCAGAAGCCTTTCCCATCCATTCCCAATGCTACCAGACATCTAATATCTAACCCATTGGCAATTATCATATTGCACTCTGATTATTTACATCTCCTTGAGACCAGACACTATGTATTATTTATCATTATGAGTTTCTTGTCTTGAGAATTTCATCCCATAAGACTGTATCAGGCTTTTACAGTATCATTGGATGAATGGCAAACAAATGTCTGTCTCTGCCACCAGACTGAGTTCCTTGAAGTTGGAGGCATTGTGCCATTTATCATGGTAGCCACAAACCTAACATAGTACCCACTGCAAGGTGGCCCTAAATAAAATGTTTTAATGAATTACCTTGCAGTCAAGAGAGGACAGAGTTTGATGACCTAGGGCCTAGGCAATAGGTTTAACCTATTGTTTTACAATAATAGATTAATTTATATTCACATACCTATGCAGAAATAAAATGGAATATATTCAAAGATTGTTGCATTTATTAATATAAACTTCTTTTTGCAAATTATTTTGTTACCATTTATTTCCTGGAAAAACTCAGAAACATGAGTTTTTTATAGAAGAATCTCTCAACAAAAAGAATTTACTCAATAACTTTTTGGCCACCATGCATGACATTTTCATAATGCAAAGCATAAAGAAATAAAGAAAAGCTGTTATTTAAAACTTAGATTTCAAGTAATATGATATTATAAATTATAGCAATATGACTTATAGCAATATGATATATATATATTGAAGTCAGTACAATATAGCGGACTCTAGGGTCAAAAATGCCAGGTGGGAATCTCGACCAGGCATCCCCAAGTTTATTTAATTTCTCTATGTCTCCACTTCTTCAGCTATAAAATGAGAAGTGAAATAATAGTGCTTTTCTCATAGCATTATTATGAAGATTAAATTACTTATGACTTTTGTAAAGTGATGATCTTTAATAAAAGGAATGAAATTCTATTCTTTCCAATGAGGGAAGAGAAAAGGTTCACAGTCCTCACACATGACTTGGCTGAGCAAAGAAGCTCTGAATCATTGCAGTTCTTATAAAACCAGCACCTCCATGCCCCTCAAATTTCTTATTAGGCAAAGCATCTGGAAGCAGCAGGACTCTTTATGGAATGGGCTGCCCTTTGCAGAACAAATAAAACACGAATACATTTAATTCCATCATAAGTATTAAGAAAAATTTTGCTGGTGGAAAATATTGTTATACTGTAGGATACATATTACCACAAATACATACACACAGATCAAAATAAGCTCTATCAGTTATTAATACTATTCTATTTAAATTTATTTGCTGTACTCTCTATTAATACTCACTATCATGGTTAATAGTTTTTCCTACTAAAGAAAACCTGTTTTCAATATATAATTTTTAGTTAACTGATTTAGTTAATAGATGTGATTATTCTGTAAAAACAAATCTATAATCTAGTTCCCCCTTTTCATTCATTCACATTAATATAAACCTCCACTATTAATATAAGTATAATTTAAGT